GTTCCACCCCCAGGCTCCGGTTTTAGGGATCCCAGTTCCACCCCCAGGCTCTGGGAGAGCGGGGACACCACGGAGAGGAGAAGCGGGAGGAGGAATTTGGGGGCGGGAGGTTCTCCCCTGGAGGTGGGTTGAGAGCTCCCAGACCCTCCCCGCTGTGGTTTTAGGGATCCCCGTTCCACCCCCAGGCTCCGGGAGAGCGGGGACACCACGGAGAGGAGGAGCGGGAGGAGGAATTTGGGGGCGGGAGGTTCTCCCCTGCCTGAACCCGCAACAAACGGGGTCGGCACCGCCCTGGGTCGGGATGGCTGCGGTTCGATTTGCTTTCAGTAAAAATCCTTAACACCACCTCCTGAAAAAGCCGTTTTCAGGCTCAATTTTTACTCCGTGTCGCGATCCAACGTTTCTTAAACCTCGCTGCTTTTTTTCCCTTTTTTTTTCTTTCTTTCTTGCCCCCAAGATTTGTCCACAAACGGCTGCAAAGCCCGGCCACGATGAGCTGCCCCTCCCTGTGCCCGGAAAGGGGGGGTTGAGAGCCCCCAGACCCTCCACGCTGTGGTTTTAGGGATCCCCGTTCCACCCCCAGGCTCCGGGAGAACGGGGGACACCAGTGGTGTCCAGCCGGGCCGTGGCACCCCTGCAGCAGCCCCCAAAAAGAAGTTTTTTCCCCCTTTCCCGACGTCCCGGCGGGCTCGGAGCCGCTCCCAGCCCCTCATCCCCCCCCCAGCCGGGTGTTTTACGAGCCCCGGAGCCGCTCCCAGCCCCTCATCCCCCCCCCAGCCGGGTGCTTTACGAGCCCCGGAGCCGCCGTCTGCCCGCGGGGTTTACGAGCTGCCATCCCATAAACCTGGAGCAACAGGAAAAGCCAATGACAGCGGCAATAAACCACCGGCACGCGCCGGGAAAAGCGCCCGGCCCCGGGGAGAACGGGACACGGGCACCGGGAACAGCATCCCAACCATCCCACGCCGAGGGGGGGGGGGGGGGGAGGAAGAGGGGGGGAGATCCTTTCTGGAGGGATTCGTGGCCAGGGGATGGGGCTCGTCCCGCTCGGGAGTGCTGCCCCGCCCCGGGAGAAGCGCCTTGCTCGGGGATAATTTGGATAATCCGGGTGATTTCTCCTCCTGCATTCCAGGGGGAAGTCACAGCTACGAGGAGAGAGAAACTCCCACCGGCTGCGGGCCTTTGGAGAGGGTCTGGGAGGGGAGGGCAGGGAAGATAAAAGCCCACACAAGAGGGGATGTGTTTCTCAGGGAACAGGAGGGGTGGCAGCTTTTCCTCTCCAAATCCAGTATTCCCGACTTTTGGAACAAACTTTCCTGAACTTCCCCTGCCTGGCATTTTTTTTTGGGAGGGGGGCTGCGTGTCATCCTGCTGGTGCCTTAAACCCCACATTGTATACATTTAGTGCAGCTTTTAGCACTTTGTCCTGTTAGCACCTTCGTACAAGGTTTCTGAAAACGCTGTTTAACTGTTTCCCGTCGAGAATTCCGAGGGGCAGAGGTCGTAGCCTGGTAAAGAACATTTTATCTGTATAAGATGCTCTTAGAATAAGACCTAACAGGCACATTGCTCGACATAACCGAGTCAAAGCTGTTCAGAAGTCCTAAAACCACCCCAGAAGGTGTGTTACCATGCCAGGGACCAAGGATCAAGACGAGGAAGGAGAAGATAAGGGGTATTTTTGGGACCACTGACTCCGATTCGGGAGGTGTGGGATGGGAAGGAGCTATAACAGGTGACGTGACATTAAATATTAAATTTCTCTCAGGCACTCAGCAATAGGACAAGGGGGCACGGGCTTAAGCTCCGTCAGGGGAAATTTAAGTTGGATATCAGGAGAAAATTAATCAGGCACTGGAATGGGCTGCCCAGAGAGGTGGTGGATTCACCATCCCTGGAGATTTTTAAACGCAGATTGGACGTGGCACTGAGTGCCATGATCTAGTAAATGGACTGGATTTGGACAATGGGTTGGACTCGATGATCTCGGAGGTCTTTTCCAACCCAATCGATTCTATGATTCTGTGATTCTATGATTCTATGATTCTATGATTCTATGATTCTGTGATTCTATGATTCTGTGATTCTATGATTCTATGATTCTATGATTCTATATTACAGCACAAAACCACCATGAGCACCTCTGCACCTCGGCGTGGGGCACTTTGGGAATGGTTCCCACACACCCAGGGCAGCAGGAATAAATAAATAAATAAATAAATAAATAAATAAATAAATAAATAAATAGACGAGTGGCTTTTGCTTTCTGGCACTCAAAAAAGAGCCTCAGAGGGTCCTTTTGGGGCATTTTGGGCATCGGGTTTTACACCCCAAACCCCCTTCCACGCCGGTACCTTCGAGGTCCAGCTTGACCACGCCGGTGTCGTCCTCGAGCTCGTTGGTGACCTCGCACTCGTAGCGCCCGTAGTCCTGCAGGGTCACGTTGCGGATGATGAGGGAGGCGTCGCCCGCCCCGTCCTCCTGCAGGGCCGTGCGCCCCCGGTAGGGCCCGAACGCCCGCCGGGCCTCGCCCAGCGCCACGAACACGTCCACGAACGCCATGGGCTCCGTCACTTTGGTCCACTTGAGGCGGATCTCGGCCGGGTCGTGCGCGGACACGTCGTAGTGGTAGCGGCAGGGAAGGATGATGGTCCCGCCCCGGTGAGTCACCACCTTGCCCGGAGCCGTCTGCACCACCACGGCACCGCTGTCACCCTCTGCAAGGGACACCCAGGTCAGGACAGGGGACACCCAGGTCAGGGCAACGGACACCCAGATCAGGACAGGGGACACTCAGTTCAGGCTGTCCTGTCACCCTCTGCATGGGACACCCAGGTCAGGACTGGCCCTGTCACTCTCTGCAAGGGACACCCAGCTCAGGACAAGGGACACCCAGATCAGGGCTGGCCCTGTCACCCTTTGTAAGGGACACCCTGCTCAGGACAAGGGACACCCTGCTCAGGACGAGGGGCATCCAGGTCAGGACTGGCCCTGTCACCCTCTGCAAGGGACACCCAGGTCAGGACTGACTCTGTCACCCTCTGTAAGGGACACTCAGCTCAGGACAAGGGACACTCAGATCAGGGTTGTCCTGTCACCCTCTGCAAGAGACACCCCACTCAGGACAAGGGGTATCCAGCTCAGGACTGGTCCTGTCCCTGTCACCACTCTAAGCCTAATCCTAACCCACCCCATCCCAAACCATTCCATCCCATCCCATCCCAAACCATCCCATCCCATCCCATCCCATCCCATCCCATCCCACCCCACCCCACCCCACCCCGGGACGCCCCTCCCCACTCACCCATGACATGAACCACCTTCTTCCTCCCCCGGGGGCTCTGCAGCGCCTCGGAGCCGAGGATTCCCGCGAGGAGCAGCAGAGCTGCCGGGCCGGCGGCCCAGGGGCTTTGGGGACGCATCTGGGGGGGAACAGCAGACCCCTCAGCACCCCCTCCAGCTTCCCCCCGGGAGGAGACCCCGCTCTGCCCGACCCCCGGCCTCGGCAGCCCCCCAGGAGCGACGCCGGTCCCCACCCCGCCCCCCCCGTGGTACCATCACCCATCGCCGGCCCCTGACCCGCCCCGAGCGGAGGGGGGGCACCGGCAGCTCTGGGTCTCTCGTTGCCTCCCCGCGCCGCCCCCCCCGTGCCCCAGGGCCCCCCGTGCCCCCGGCGCTGAACTCGGCTCGCCCCGCTCGGTTACAGCCGCGATGAATATTTCATGCCAGGCGCGCCGGGCCGCTTCTCCTGAGTTATTTATGGCAGCGCCGGCACATCTGGAAACCGAACTGATGGGGTTGGAGCGGCGGCGGCGGCGGCCGGAGCCCCCCGAGACCCCCGGCTGCGCTCCCCCCCCTTCCCGGGGCACAGCCTCCTGATCCCCGGGGGCTGCGATCCCGAGCCCCGCGTTCTGGGGGTGCCCCAGATCCCAGCCTGGTTCCGCGTCCCCCCTCGCGCGGGAATGAGCCCCCCCCCCAAGCGCAGGGGAGGGTGGGGAAGGGGCACCGGGAGCTGGATGTGGGGCGGGGGGAGCGGGGCAGCCCCCCGGGGGTCCTGGTGCCTCTCCGGGAGCACGGGAAGAGGAACAAACCCCCTCGGGGGTCTCGCTGCTCTGTCTGGGGGCATAGCGAGGGGACCGTGTGTGTGTGTGTCCCCCGGAGGTCCCGGTGCCTGAGCGGGGGGCAGGGGAAGCGAGGTAGCCCCTCCCGGTGGTCCCGGTGCCACGTCCGGGGGCAGGGGGAGCG